ACCCAGGGTTATAGTGAGAGTGGCTTTATTTTCTAGAGTATTAAACTCTAAGAGATAATTTTTTATCAAATCTATATACTTATATATTGCATATGCGGCTATAATTTTTATTTCTATCGGACCGCTTGAAGAATTTTTATAATGCTTTATATCATTCGTACCTTCAAAAGTAACTTTTTACACTTTTACTATTTTTCAAAAATAAAGATTAATATACAATTTTACCACACAAAAATCATCTTATATAAAAGAAAAAATCCTATTTTATAGAATAACAATTTATCCGAACAAATTTGATAATATAAACACTTCAAAATATGATCTTTGCTATTTTTTAAAAATTTGACATGCAAAAAAAGCTAAGGAGAGACCAACTAAAAGAAAAAAAATCGAAAAATGTTATTATATGATAAATAATTGTTTGGTATACAAATAAATTATATCAAGCATAACAATCAAGACTGCTTCCAATGTCAGTTATTAGTTACATGGCTTTGCAATTTTATTGTTTTTTTATTTGCAAATTGTGAATGTTTTAAATGATTTTATTAACACTTTTATGTTTTAAATCATTATATATATCCTAATAAAAAAATATATAACTTTTATATATGGAAAATTAAGCAGAGTTTATAATAGCCTCGACCAAGGGCTTGTTCGTCCCCGGGTAGGGTTCACTCGGTTACCAAAAAAAATTCCAGGAAAAATGATATTTTTAAAAAATTATTAGAGATGTATTTTTGAAATTTAAACATATCATAAAACTAATAGAGCTGAATATAATTTTCTTAAGGTTTGCCTTTAGGGTTCGCCATTACCCCGTTCTCCCCTACAAGTTTTAAATAAATTAAAAAGAAAAAACTTGATGTTTAATATTTAAAATGATTAGATGAAAAAGAGAAATCTATTTTATTACTTAGAATCTTTTTTATATATTTTAAGTCAAAAAAAAGAAAAGCCTTAGCCTTAATTTCAATAAAAAAATGTTTTTAGAGCCAATCCCCATTTTAACTTAATTTACAGATTCAACGAAGTCAGTCGAAAAGTCGATAAATATAAAATTGTAACTTCCATGAAACTCCATTCGCGATATGATAATGCATTCGCTATAATGCATTCGCGATAATTCATTCGCTATAATGCATTCACTATAATGCATTCGCTATAATGGATTCGCTATAATGCATACGCTATAATGCATTCGCTATAATGTATTCGCGATAATTCATTCGCTATAATACATTCGCTATAATGCATTCGCTGTAATATATTCGCGATAATGCATTCGCGATAATTCATTCGCTGTAATGTATTCGCTATAATACATTCGCGATAATGCATTCGCGATAATTCATTCGCTGTAATGTATTCGCTATAATACATTCGCGCAAATACATTTGCTATAATATTTTCGCTGTATTATATTCGCTATAATGCATTCGCGGTAATGCATTCGCGGTAATGCATTCGCGGTAATGCATTCGCGGTAATGCATTCGCGATAATGCATTCGCTGTAATGCATTCGCTATAATATCTTTTCGCGGTAATCTACATTCGCGATAATGCATTCGCGATAATGCATTCGCGATAATGCATTCGCGATAATACATTTCGCGCTAAAATTTTCGCGGTATTGACATGTAACCAAAGCTTAGATTTAGATGGGAGAAAAAAGGGAAACTTAATTTATTTTCAATTAACTTAATTTAGATTTGATATTGCTCCCTAGTTTGTTCTATTTAAATTAATAAGATTTATTAGGTTGTATTAGTCATTTCCAGGTAAAAGTTTGGTCCAGAATTAAGAATCATCTCTTGACCAATCATCTAAATTTACAAACAACACTTCTTCATTTCAACAGACTTTTGTTCCATATAAAGATACTAGTATCAAAAAATTGTATCATGAAATTAATTTACTTTAGACATATCCTTGTACATTTAATATTATTATGTACCACATCGCTTTCATTATCATAATCAACTAAATCCGATTGGAAATTATTTTAGTAGATGTTGCATGGTATTTTTGAAATCCACCAATATTAAAAAATAGGTTTATTTAATCCGATGGAAATGAAAATCTATTAATTCACATTTACATAATTTTAAAAAATTAATTTAATTTAAAATAAATTTTTCGCAACATATTAAAAATAAAATGAATTATTTGAATATATTATTTAGATTTATATATACATATTTTTAAAAGTAACTAGTTTTTAAAATATTCTTATTTGTCTTTTTTTTAAAATATTTTTTTAATTTAAATATTGTTAGTATATTTAATTTTTTAAATTGAAACAGCTTTTTAAAAATAATTTACTACCAAATAAAAAAAAATATTTTATTAAAGTTACATATATTTTAGATATTTCTTTATTAGTGACGACAACATGTAGGAATTCAAGAACCACAGTTTCGAGGTTTTCTGACTTTTTTCTAAGTCCTGATTTTGTGGTTCTTCGATCTCTGATTATAACGTGGGGATGGGGGGGGGGTTCATTTATTTTTATATTTTTATCATTATAGCAATAATATTTTTTTATATATAAGGTTCAATGAATGATATTCAACGTTCTTACTAATTATTTGTTCAAATTAATAGTGGTATGAACGAGTCTAATAATGAATATAATTCAATTACGAATAATTTTTTGGAATAATGAGTATATTTTTTAAAATCTGTAACTAGTTACTTTTTTCATAAGTAACTATTATATAAATTAAGAGTAGTTTAAAACATGACTAAATGGTCTAAAATTTAAAGTATTGGTACTACTCTTTACCAGGCGCGTACTCAGGAATTTGGTCTGGGTGGGGGGGGGGATATAATAAAAACTTTTAAGAAATATCATTGAGCATAAATTTATTAGGATTAATAACTTTTCTAATACACAGTTTTAAATTAATGTGAATTATAAAAAAATTATATATATAAACCGGCATATAAAAACTATAAATTAAATGTGAATTAATAAATATTAAACGGATTTAAATGGTGGCATTGTAAAACTATGAAATAAATATGAATTATAAAATAATATAAAGTGAATATAACCACCATATGAATCACTTAAATGACCCAAAATAGAAATTTGAATTTTTTGAGCCTTTAAAATTTATATATAAAGTATAAAAAATTTAATTGTTGGAAATATAAATTAATACACAAAAAGTTTCTTAGGAATAATTGTATTTTCTATGTTTGAGCTAATTTTCCATTTATCGCACCCTTTCTTGGCGTTAAATGCCTATGAATATTCAAAAGAAACCATTCAATCTACTATCAGAAGTTTTACTTCATAGGTATGTTTTTCAGAAACTTGCAGGCACGGCCCCCGGGCCGTAATTTTTTTAAATATACCCGGGCCGGGTCCTAAATTTTTTTTTAAAAAAACTCCCGGGCTGGGCTTTAAAATTTTTTTCAAAAAAAATCCGGGCCGGGTTAATATATTTTAAAACCAAATATTTGAAATCGCCATTATTAGCTATAAAAATCAAAAATAAATATAATTTATTTTAGAAAAATTTGAGCCGGGCCTGAAAATTTTTTTAAAAAAAAAACCCGAATATGGTGGGAAAAAATTATGAAAAAAAAATCCGGGCCGTGCCCAATGGTACCTCTGCAGGGCTCTGTTATTATTCTTAAAAAGAGAATGTTCTCTCATTAGTTTACTAATGGGGAGAGTTGCTAATATATTTATAACCATTTTAATACATTGGGAATATAATCTAAAATGTGTTTATAATAATGCAAAGTATCCATAGCATTTTTTGGGACTATTAATTTTATAAACATATTCAGCTAATAAGGCATCATAAGATACTTAAATATCTTCATGATAAAAATCTAACAAATATTTTTTTTCCTATCATTATCTGAAAAAGGTTGGTAAGGCTTTTGTGGAAATAATATCTACAGATTGGTAGGTGCTGCATGATGAATAAAAACCGTTCATTTATTTGAGTTATAAATATATCTGAGAGTTCGGACATTTGTTTTATAATTCTTCTATTGATCATATATTAATGTTTTGACGATGAGCTTGCTTGCTGCAAGTCGAGGGGGACAAATATTAAACATGTGCTCTGCCTTTGACTCAACAATAATATATAAAATATGAAATATGCAATTCTTCATCAACATTAGTTCTAATTTCCTTGAGTTTTAATAAAATGCTCTCAGCTATTCTCATCTTCTTAATCAAGTCAATGTCATGTTTTTGAAAAGTATTACATAAAATAGTTGTATAATTAAATAATACATTCTAATGAGAAAAAAATTTTGGAATAAGTATTGAATCCAATAATTTTCTTGCTTCTGATGAAATATTTCTTTCAAACCATTATGATATTTCAGTAATAGCATTAATAATCGGCTCTTCTAACTCCATAAAAGCTGTTACTGCTTGATGGCGGCGACTCGATCTCGTTGGACAAGCTTGCAATTTCTTTCTCCCTGTTAGACAAGGAGTTTCAGAGATAATTATTATTTGACTATATATTTAGATAAATATTACGCCACTAATATTTGAAAATAATAGGTAAATTAAGCCAAGGAAAACTTGAAATCGAACATAATTGATAAAATAACTTTATGATAAATAAATGTAATTATTAAATATATATGAGATAGGAATAAATATTAACAATAATATTTTTGAAAAAAAAATCCGGCATCTGCATTTTTTGGCTTGCCCCCGCCGCGTACGCGCCTGCTCTTTACATATGTTAAAATATATTTCGGTAAAATTATAAGCCAAAACAATATCCGCCTTGGGTTTTCTCAAAAACTCAACTTTGAAAGAAGATATAAATTATCGCGCCTTGATGATTAATGGATTTTTTTAAGCAGGCATCGCAAATTTAGTTGAATTAGCCAATTTTTAGCCATTAATCTTTAGCATGAAAAATCAAGATTCGATTATTAAGTTCAAATAAATTGTTGTTTCTTTTGGATGTATTTTTGTTTTAAAATTAATATTTTATATTTAAATAAATAATTTTTAAAAGTTTATTAAATCTTATTCGCCCTTGAAGGTTATTTTAAAATTAATTAATTAATTCAATAAATAAAATGATATCGCTCAAAATTCTTTGCCTGCTCTTACTTGGAATAATTTGGTCAACTACTAGGTAAAAAAATATATATGCATTTTCATATTTTAAACTTTAAGCGAGAAAAATGAATATCTCGATAAAATGACCATTTTGATAATTCATTATAATTATTTAATCGTTAAAAAACGTTTTTATTAAATTATCGGTGTGATTTAAAAAAAGGAAGTGCCCTTTGATTGTTTTACGAGAAGGTCAAATATTCGTTATGGACGAGATTCGTTCTGCATGAGCTACCACGTTTTTGAGGGGACGCGAGTATAGCTCTCTTATGACACGTCCCGTCTAACCGAACCTGAAGTGTAAATTGGCTTTTAGACCGAAAAATTGTAAAAACGAACCATTTTCTAGGAATTTGATTCTAGCCTTGTATCTGACCCATTAGAATACAATAATTTAAGCAGAAGTCCAACAAGAAAATGTTTTTTCGATTGATCTTAGATTTGGTAGGATCAAATTCGGATAAGATGCCTCAGGATTCTAAGGCCTTCATTTATAGTAAGCGCGAAATATTGCGATGTCGCTCAAGCGCTGCATATATTATCGCTAACCGATAGCATAATCAGGCTTTCGAACAGAACCGCAAAACCGGAACGAACCATTATAATTTTCTGAACAGTAACAGAACCATTATAAGAAATATAAAAAGAGCGAACCGAATAGTTATAAATATTTCAAACCGGTTTAAATGGTACAAACCGGTTTTTAAAATAATTAATTTTAATTATTAACCTAAATTTGAAATTTTAATTTTCCTTGGGGGCAATTTAAATTCGCGATCTTTCAGATTTAAACTTTTTTATTTATATAATTAAAATCGCCTTTATCTTCATATCAATAACAAGTTTATTGTTTTTACTTTATATACACAAAACTATTTTTGGCTAAATTAACAAGTTTATTCTTATATATTATTTATTAGTTTTTATAATAATACTTACTTTTAATTTAGGAAAAAAACATTTTTTTTAAAATCTTACTATAAATCTTCAATTTAAATAAGTTAACTAACTATTAAATTATTTTCATACTTGTGTTTTATATTAAATGGCTTTACATTATAGATGTTAAATTATATGATTATAATTTTTTTTTAAAAAATTTAATGTATAAAACCAGGATGAACCGAAAAGACCCATTATAAATTCTCAACCGGAAAGAACCTTTATAAATTTATTCAAAAAAACCGAAATGGAACAAAACCTTTATAAAATTTTAAACTAAAATCCCGAAACGAACCGAACCGCTATACCTAACAAACGGTTCGAACCCCTGAGCATAACTATATCATTATTATGTATTTTGTAAATTACGCATCGTCTGAGCGACATTGCGGTATTTCGCGCTTACTATAAATGAGGCCTAAATTTTATTTCATTTATTTCTGAATAATCTTCTTCTTTTCAATAGGATTTGATGACTCCGAGAATAAGGTTATAATCCCGCTTTTAAAATAACGATTAATGAATCTAAGTGTGTTGCCTTGCCATCACTATATTAGAGGTCTGCAATGGAAAAATTTTTAAGCCGGTCCGGTTGGAATTAATTTGCCTAGCCCGGCCCGTCCAAATTTGTGCCCACTTTTCTAACCACTGTCAGTAATTTTATCTTTGCTTGCATTTGCTAAAAATAAATTTCTTCTTTTAGAAGTTAGCCTAATTAAAATATAATTTATAGAATTGAATAAAAGATGCACCAGAATCTCTTCCACCTTAGCTGCTTTTTAAAATCCAGAAATATAACCTATGGATAAATAACCAATGATTTTCTTATAGAAATAATCACTAAATGTAGGAAAAGGAAATCGCATTTATGAATGAATGATCTTAGTAACCATAATCATTTAAATTATAAGCAAAATATAATATTCTTATTTTAACAAAATTGAGCTTTAGAATTAAAAAAATTCTATTTACTAATCGCGCCAAACATCTCTAATTTTTGCTGGCCCGGCCCGTTGATTTTTTAACACGTTACCATTTAAAAAAATTAATTAAATATTAATATATAACTATAGTTTCTTTTAATAGTGATGCACCTGTTATTTCTAAAACACATCATTATTGACTAATATATTAAGCTCGCACCCCCCCCCCTCCCTACTCCCTCCATTTAAATTATTTATGAAGTAAAATTTATATGCATTTACGTGTTTTTTTAAGAAAAAAAATATTATATTTTAAATTTATGGTATTATAGTCCTAAAAATTTTTTAGAACTCTAGTCAATAAAATATTTAATTTCAAAAAATATTCGAAATATCATTATTTTATTAAATTATAATTATAATAATAAATAATAATAACCTAAGCTACACACTATATAATCCATAATATTTTACTCCTCATTAATAATTATAATTATAATGTAAAAAAAGATCAAAAAATTAAATAACTATATCAAATATCTATTAATTATGTTTGTAACAATTCGTCTATTTTAGAGCTTGTTTTTTATTGAATTTAAAATTATCAACCATTTTTTTGAACGTGATTTTCTTCGTTACTTTAATAAATAAATATTGGGTTTTAAGAATTTAATTGGATGCGTTTTATTATTTAGAAAACTTTCATCACTTTTACTCATTATTAATTATCTTAAAGCATTTTCTATTAATGTACTAATTATGAATTAATTTTTTTTTTCTGTTAAGGGTTCTAATCGAACCTTCATGAAATTTGATTTGTTTCATCATTTGCGAATAATTATGCATATTTATATTTGCTAGGGATAATAATTATAAATATTCAATAAAAATTTTAGACATTATAATATTAGCCATACTCCAAAATCTTTAACTAATCTTCTTTTTTTCCCCATGATTTCTTTCACCATTTATGGTGATTAGCTCATTTATTCGTTCTCATTGTTTTTTCCTTCTAATTCCTTAGGTTAGGACTTACTCTTTTTCCTCGGTGTGGGCAGCGTTTACATGACAGAAAATTTACTGCAGGTAAATCTACCTTTAAAATCTATGAATCCCTGACATGAATCCGAACAAATATACTGCTGACAAAAAGACACTCGACATAAATACTCCCGGACATAGCGACACCTAAGTAATAGACATCGGACAAAAATAAGGTGGAAATACCCCAATTTTATTGATTTTTTCAAATGCCTAAAAAATTAATTTTTTAAAAAAATTAGTATATTTATTTTATACGGTTCTAAGTATCTGATAGATTTTACCGGATATAATTAGTTTTGTTGGTTTTAATAAAATTAAGTATTTCTCATAATCCACATTTATGCTTAGATTAACCATAGCCCACATCAGGCCTTGCCATGAACCGCGTGGCAATACGTTTAACTAACATCTAAATTTTCCCATAGTCCACATATGTGCATAAATTCTTTTATAAAGGTATGAGTAAAAACAATTCACAGTGGCTGCGCGTGCGAATTATGACTAGGTAAATATTTTTTTAGTGTGTTGAAGAAATTAATAGTTTTTTTAAATTTTTTTATTTTTCTAAACATTTAAATATTTTCATTAATATTGGGGTATTTTTACCGGTATCTTTTTGTCCTGGCGTATTTTTGTTAGGTATATTTGATATTTGGGTCTTTAGGACCAGTACACTTCTGACCTATTAAAACCTATTCCTTCACTTCCAAAAAGAAATTTGGCAGCTTTCGGCGGCAAATATTTTACGCTATTAATTATTGAATTTGTAATTATATTGATGTAAATATCATGCTCCTAAATATATTAAATTATTGAGAAATAAGGCAAATACTATTATTAATATCTAGATATTTGTAAAATTGTTATATATAGCAATCACGGAATTATTGTAAATAATAGTTTTTGGCTTTGTATTATTTACAAAAGTAAAGATTAATCGAAATTTAAAAGAATATATTACAATTGTTAATAATAAATTGCCTCTAGTTGTAAAGTATTTGATAATCGATCAGAAGTGTCATGGATATAGAGACTCGAACAACAGTAACCTGGACAGAAATTCATCTGGACAAAAAGATATTCAAAATAGACTCGGATACCTAGGGCAAAAGGACACTGGATATAAATAACCAAATTTTAATAATTTTTAAAAATTTTTTCTACACATATTTCATTCTCCACTAAAAAGATTTAACTAATAATAATGCGCAGCTGCTAGTACATTTTTATAAAAAAACCATACACATATGTGGAGTATACTGAGATACACATTCATGGCAAGTCCTAATGTGAGCTAGGGTTAATCTAAGCAGAAAAGTAGATTGTAAGGCATACCTAATTTTATTAGACACCAAATCCACTTCATTCGGTAAAATTTAACATAAACTTAGAGCTAAAAGGCATCTATGAGTCTTTTACCAAACTACCCGGTTTTGGATAAGGACTGATACCAAGTTAGTGGAGCACGATAGTGATTAGCTTAGGTCTGTGCACAAAGATACGGGTTAGTGTTTAATTATATGAGAAGAAATATTAACTTTATTATATACCAAACTCACTATATTAGGTAAAGTTTAACAGACTTTATAGCCGATAGAATAAATCAATAAAAAAATAAAAAAATACCCATTTCTAAGCATTTAAATTTTTTTTATTAAAATTCGAGTATTTATATCCGGGTTCTTTTGTCCAAGATATTTATGTCCGGGATTGGGAATCAAAATATTTATATTATGTTAAACATGTATAAAAAAAATGAGGAATATAAAATAAAGTGCAGCAAAAAAATGGAATTGGTAACCCCCCAATATATTTACCCCCCCCCCTCCCCAGGAAGCAATCCCCCCCGTCATATAGACGTTTAGTGTGGGCAAACTATACCATTTTAGTCTGGTCTTTCACTGCTTACATTATTTCCGCCTCTTCCTTCGGTGAACATTGATGTTGCAGCTCACACCCTCTATTGTCCTTGATTCTAATTTCACTGTGGAATTAGGCTTCCCGCCTCCCTTTTTTCAGTATCTAAGTTTAGGATCCATCTGGAAAATTTGGCCATACAACCGATTTATAATTTAAACAGCTCCTACTTATTATTAAGTGTGCGATAGTGGCATATAATTCTCGTTATAATACTACTAATCCATTTCATCTAACCTGCGTTAATTCTTGCTTTTATTTCACCATCTAACCCTCCATGTACTTATACACTTTGTTCCAATTGTACTCAGAGTTGGGCAGTATACCTCGAATACTTGTATCTAAGATAAAAGATCCTTTTGTATCTTGTAATCAGTATCTATTTGGCATTTTTAATAAGATACTAGCATCTGTATCTAAGATCCTTTATTCTGAAAAAAATCTTGTAACTTTTTCCTTTTTTTGACAAAAGATACAGATACAGATTCTTTTTAAAATTCATGTTTAAAAATTTAGATTTACATGAAATCTTTAAATATATCGACAAACAGAATAAGTTAGAAAATAATTTTCCCTAAATCAAATCCCAATCTTAATATTTTAAATGGAAATTTTATTTAAATAATTCAAGTCAAAAGAAAATGTACAGGCTGAATATCAAACCTGTAAAAACAAAAATTGATAAGGGGTTCAACAAACTCCTCTACAAATTATATTAAACTTATTAAAATATATTATTGATAATTTTAAGTTATTATATAATTATATATATATTTTTTAGAGATACCATTTAGGCATTTATAGACAATAATGTATCTAAGAGAGCAGAGAAGAAAACCAGCAAACTATCACCATAAAAAAATCAACCCAGTATATCAGTTTGATTTGATACCATTAATAAAATGAAACAAATAATTATACAAAATAAAATTGACATGGAGCAATGGAAAAATATATAAAATTATGGAAATGGAAATCTTCTGAGAAGATAAGGGAGCTAACAGGTGGTAATCAGCTAAAAGTTCCATGCTTAATCAGGTGAAATAGCCTAAACGATAATATGACTTTACTGTTAAATATTAATCACATTTAAATTTATTATTTGAAACAATTTATTGTCCAATTGAGGAATATTATTAAGACAAACAACAAGTGCAGAGTAGTACAGAATTAGTGCCCATACTTTGTGGTTAAAGGGGACTTAGGCAAACTTAAAAATTCAAGTTCTCAATATTGTTTTTACCTTTAATAAAAGCTGTCCTAGATTGTATGGCTATGGGCAAAAGATTTGGGAAAATTTTTCCTATGAAGATGAGTATAACGAGGCTTTTTTGGCATAATTATCATACGTATATTTTAAGAACTCATGCTTTGTCGGAAACAAAATATACTTTCAAAATATATTATTAAAAGAAGCCCTAAATTTAGTCCAGTAGTATATAATCAAGCTCAAGCTATAACACCAATTGATTTAACATCTAATACAGAAAATGATGATTATTTTTTCTTAAGTAAACAAATGTTGCTGAGTTCAATAAAACAAATAACATTGAGCTGGAGGTTTTAAATTATATTAAAGGCCGTCGAAATACATTAGAAATGCTTAATTAATATCCTTCCATTAAGGAAATTTTTTTTACAAAGATAATATTGCATTACCTTAATCAGTTCCAGTTGATGTCATTTAGTTTTGGCACAGCCTTAAATACGCCAAAACGGCAAAGGCTTAATGATAAATTATTTGAAAGATTGATCATCTTAAAAAATAATGATTTGATTTAATATATTTTAAATACTCTTTTGCAAATTAATATTTTAGCTCATAAAAATACTACTTTCCCTTCATGCCTGATTATTATAATTAACTCGTCATTAAATATTCTATTAATTATTGTAAATATCATTCTTATTATATGCTTATGTTATGCTCTTCACCAATAAATAAAAAAAAAATTCTATATAAACTATTCGGTAATGATAATATTATAAAAGTATTTTGTATTTAAGATAATCTCATTTGTCAAAAGATACAAGTATCTTTTATCTTGTATTTTTTTAATATTTTGAATAAGATATTAATATTTGTATCAAAGATCCAATTTTTTTAAAAGAATCTATATCTAGATTCTTTCTCAGGAGAACCTGACCAACTCTGATTGTACTGATACCCTTTTGGTCTTAGCAATAAATCTGTCAATTCTGAAAATAATTCAATAAAATTTTATTTATAGATTGAGAGAGAATTATCAATGTTTTCTAAAAATTTCACCAAATTCTATTATCAGGGTTCAAAGTTATGCACATTCAACGTTGAACATACAAATTTCGAATTTTTCAACATGTAACATCAACATTTAACATTAATGTGAGTCAAATGTTGTACTTAAAAGCTGATATTCAAATGCCCGCCTCTAGCTCAAATACATGCTCTAAAACGATTTCGCCATTCATTGATTGCACAGTCATCAAGCCTTGATCGATAAGCTCTATTCCTCCACAAGTCGCGATTTGATAAGGTCAACGTAGCGCATGTATGCTTGATAAACACTTTCTCGAAGGACGCTCTATATGTCATAGTCGACCGGATTGAGATCTAGTTGAGGGTGGGCAAAGAGTAGACTGTATAAAATCTGGAGTTCCTCTTGTAAGTAGAACCCTTGTAAGTAGAACCACAGCTTTCCTGGCCTGGTGAGCTGGAGTACTCTCCTGCTGGAATTTAAAAAAATTTTCCTTAATTGTAAAGTTTAAAAAAAATAACTTTTTCCATGTTGAAAAATTCGAATTTTCTTTGACTAATGAATTTGCATAACTTTGGCTATTGATTGAAATTTTCAGAAACCATTAATAGTTAATCCCTTTCTTAAAATTTTACTGAATTATTTTTAGAATTGACAGATTTATTGCTAAAACACAAAGGGTTTAATTCGAACACATTGTATATTTTCGATTTCACCAATTATTTTTATTCCACCTCTTAGGTTTATTTTTATCTCTATTAATTATCAAATCATATCAATTTCTATATTTCCCTAATTTTCCATCATTTTATTTTTACATAACAAAGCACAATGCCCCTGAAAGCAGATCTTTCATAGTTCTTTACCTACAAGAAAATATATTTTTTAATTTTATAAATATTTTTTTGAGTGATTTTTTCATTTTTATAGATATATTGAAGGGTTATCATGTACTTGCCATCAAATGGAGGGAAAATGTAATTCTCCGCCTCCAACCAATTGTAAAGGAGATATGGTTAAAGACGCCTGTGGATGCTGTGATGTTTGCGCAAAAGTAGTTTATATTAAAGATTTGATAGGGAAATAAATAAAAATTTGAAGGAAAGAAAGTTTAAATAATTTTTAAAAAATGGCTAAAAGTATATGAGAATTTTATAGGTGTTAAATGAGACCTGCGGAGGACCATGGTGGGTAGGCGGGAGATGTTCAAAGGGGCTGATATGTAAATTTTCTGATTATCGACAACCTATCCAATCTGATGGCGTTTGCATTCTAGAATATCTTAGGGTAAAAATTATTTGTTAAATATTATAATAAAAAATGACATATTGACTTTTACTCAGTTTTTTGTAATATGCATCAAGTAGTATTTTCATAGAAACTATGTAGCATTTAAAAAACAAATAGAATTTACTATATATACTTTAATTTGTATTAATAACCCAATCAAAAGATTTTTAAAACCACAATTTATTTAAATTTAAATTTCTTATATAATAGAGACTTCTTTTTTTTAAATTTCACTTGGAAGATTTTATTAATATTTTTGGATTTATTCTATTTGCATGAGCAAATTTTAGAAGGATCATTACTCCCATTATTTTTAAAGTGCTCATTCCTAATAACATCTCTAAAATTATTTTAAATTTATTGGATTTATTCTATTCCTTTATTCGCCAAAAGAGACAAGTTCAAAATTTTATTAAAAATTTAAAGTCTAACTTAATAATTCCTCCATGAAAGAAACAACTTTTAGAAATTTTTAATTCTAATCATTAGCCTTCAACAAAATGCTTACATTGACTTATAATTCATTATCCGTGGATTTAATAGACACAAATGGTTCTCAAAAAACATATAGTTTAAAACATTAACAATAACTTTTCAGATAACAACAACACTTAATTCCACATCTACCTAAATCACCTCCTTCTTCGCCTTATTATTATATATTTTCTAACCCAAAATCTTTTAAATTTCTAAAGGTCCTTGAATTCAGATGGAAAAAATTTTCTCAGATCGCACCTCCTTTCGCTTGCAAAATTTCAACAGTGAAAAGGAATTCCTTATATTCTTTTTAATTTAGTACATTTAAGGTGGTTAATTAAACTTTATCCAATATCTAAAGTATCAAATTAAAGATGAAGCCTGATACATATCTTCCTGATGAATTTTGACCTTTCAACTCTGCACAAAGAAGAAAACATCTCCCATAAAAATCAAATCCAAACTTATCTCTAAAAACTTGAAAAGTTAAATATGTAAAATGCTTAGATTAGCTAATTTTAAATTAGTTTACACCTATGATTTCATTTCCTCACTGCATTATGATGTGGCTTTTATTAAACTTTCTTCCAAATATTCTAAATTCACTGTCATTCCAACTTATTCAAACCTTACTCCATATACGTGACTGAATTCATATAGGAAGAAATAAAGAAAGCCATATCTCATTCCATCGTGATTCTGGTCAAGGTACTGGGGAATTTGTTCTATATTTCCTCTAGACATTACCTCTCCATTAATATGTGCACATATTCATTTTTAACCAAGCTAAATAACTTCTGCAAAATGTAAGAGGATAGGTACCTAGCTTTGCATTTCCCCTACTCTCTGGAACACGATTTATTGCCTTAAAAGACCCAGATTATGATATCCGGTCCATTGTAGTGTTAACCTTTGGACTTCTAGTTGCTAAAATAATTTCAGCAAGAATAAAGCACAATAATCTAGTACTTTGAGAACATTTTAATTAGGTGTGAGAGTAGTGGGATGCTGTGAGGCCCTTGTTCACTTTACCCGATTTCATGTATAAAACATTCCCATTAATGAAGTCATGATTAAGATCGACTTCCCTTTAGATACTTTCACTCCGAATCCATTCAAAGATTTCATGAGCTCTATTATCCCAAGATATAACAGATTCTTCCACTCTTACTATTATTATACTTCTACATTACAATTTAAACAAATTATTATATTTGGCCATATTATAGCCCTTATCAAGCGTATTAGTTTATAATATAGGTTATGATTATAATAAACTATTAGTGTATATACAGTGGCCCCTACACTTTCTGAGCGAATGAAGCAGAATACCCCCCTGAAAAGTATCCCTTTGAAAAGTATCCCCCCCCCTCGAAAAAGGGTAATTATTTTATGACACCCATAAATTTCAAAAATAATTTTTATTGCATCAAATTGCATCAATTTTTAATATATAATATAAATAAAATGCAAAAAAAATATACTTTATAAATATTATTTTTAAATTAATAATTTAGATAAATTAGGGGAAGAGAAAGCGAATTTATAATTTCATCAATATTTAATTGTTTTAATAAATTTTTTTCCATTGATAATATGGTTAAATTATTGAGAAATGAATCTTTCATGGTACTACGAAGTCTTGTTTTAATTAATTTAATTTTACTCATGACTTTTTCGGCAGTACATGAGGTTGTAGGAGGTGCAGCATAAAACACACCTATTTTAAAGCTAAAAATATTTTTATATTTAATGATGAAAGTATATATACCTCTCCTTTTTGGATTGTAATGTTTGATGTCTAGAACTTTCAAAATCAAAAGGTAGATTTCTCTCCTTCATAAAATCTTGTGCCTTTAAAAAACATCCAAAAATTCAGTGTTATTATCTATTAGATTAAAAAATAATTAAGACAATAATTTATATTATATTTCTCAAATTAATCAAGCAATCTTTTGCCAATTGAATTTGAATTATTGTAAACCCTATATCCTTCGAAATGGTTTGCAATTTTGTACAAGCCAAACTTGTTATCAACAAAATTTTATCCAAAACACAAAGTGATGAGATAAAATCAAATTTTTCTATTCTAAAGACTATAGCACTAGCCATAGTGGAAGTGGCAGGATCTTCAGAATCCTTTAAATTTGTTAAAGCTGCCCTCAAGGCATCATAAAGTAGAAAAAAAATTTACAATAGCTTTATATGACGATAGCCAGTTTCTAAATGAAAAAACATTTTAAATCTAAATAAATAAATACTATTACCAAGTGGTATTCTTAATGCTTAGAAATTGTTGCGATTTTTTCAGATCATTACAATGACATTTTTTGAGTACCTCATATATTTTTACACCATTAAAATAGATATAAATCTCATCTAGTATTCCCAGAACATTTCGAAGTTCTTTAATTAATTGGCATAATTGAACAATTATTAAATTTAATCGATGACAGTAACACCAAATTAAAGCTGCCTTTGGCGCCTCTGCTCTAATCAAGGCCTGCACACCATTGATTTTTCCACTCATGTTTGAGGCGCCATCATAACTTTGCCCGACTAGAAATTCAAGGGGTAAATTCATCGAGTCGAGTTTGGATATTATATTATGCTTAATATCGAGATCTATGGTATTTCCCGTACAATATACGTCAATTTCAACGGGCTTCGGCGTCTCACTATTTTCAACATATCTTACTATCAAAGCTATTGCTTCTGATTTCGAAACATCATATGTGCATCTACTATGATTGAAAAGCACCTGTTAAATGTAATCTCATTTTGAATTTTTTTTATAACCATATTTTTCATGGTTTCAATGAGAATATTTATGTTATTATATGATAATAGATTGATAATTTCGTTTTTAATCCCTTAATCATTCTTCATTTTGTTGTATATACATTTTTAGTGCAAGCTCAGAATCTGCAATAAGCTTAATAAGGGCCATCATATTGTCTTCTTGTTGCCTGTTCCCCCAGTAGGCTTGGTTACGAGATATTAAATAATCTAAACATCTTATTATAATTCTTATGATAGAACAGATATTATCTACACATTCTTTCTGGGGTGTTATAAATTTTATTATCAAATCTTTATTGTGAGAAAGCCTTCCATAATCGGCCATCATATGTGCCTGTGAAGATTCTTGCAGAATAATATAACGATTATTATTCTGCCATTTATCTAGACCTTCACATGTCCATTTTAAATTTGTGTGTGGACCTCCAAATAAGAGACATGTTAAGCAAAAAACTTTATTCATTTTAAGTAATCCAATTTCTAGCAATTTTGCTATTGTCAATATTAGTTTTTTCATAAAAGCTTTCATTAAAGGATCTGTTTCTATTATTATTATCTTTGGAGAATAAATAATGTGTAGGTTGAAGAGCTCCTACTAGATATTTATCAATTATAAATTTGTCAATTCTTTTTCCAATAATATTGGTGGGATCATTTAATTCATAAGAAAAGGGAGGGAGGGAAGATAAGATATTTTAATTAAAATATGAATACTACTATCTATTCATATTATGCTTAAAAAGATAAATAGAAAAATTTCTGTCAATATATATTAAATTAAATATTAAGTTAGGGAGGGGGGGGGGGTCTTATTATTACATTTATAAACCAGAAATCACTTGATCATGATGGATGTAACAAAACAGTAAAAGAATTAAATAATAAAGAAAATTTTTAAAAAAAGTACCCTCACTCAAATTTACTGAAGCAGTTACTTCGGACCCCCCCCCCCTCCCCCCACCCGTTGTAGGTGCCACTTCACCGATTGGAAAGGGATATTAAGGCTTTATATTCCGTTCCGATGGTCTTGATAGAGAAAATAATGTATTGACTTTCCAATTTATTCCTGATTAGGCAATCACTTCTGAGCATTCAGATAAAGAAATGACGAATAAAAATATATCGCTTGTCAATAAGATAAATAAAAAGAACTATTATTGTAAACATTCTTTTAAAACGAATACGGTTGATATAGGTTATAAGAAAACCAAATATAATAGTACGTTTGATAGAGGATAAAATAAAGCCAAATATAATAGTACTTTTGATAAATATTATAATAAAATAATTAAAATTCCTTGCGTAGTAGGGATTCAGCAGGGAGATTTTCTTGAATCATTTCTATTTTGCCTTGGAATTAACAAAATGATTATGACAATCAATGCCTCATGCCTTTCTCTTCATATCTGGTACAGTCTGTGGGACATCCAAAGAGATAAGTATAGCCATTTATATATTCCATGAGATTGGTCCATTTTTGGATTTCACTCTCAACTAGAAAAAATCAGGATTCTTTCAACTAAACTGTTCTGAACTTATCACCCACAACTTTCAGCTCATTAATCAAAATAAACTAATAAATCCCCGGTTGGAGACAACTCAGCTTCATGTACATTTCCTCACTCAACTCTTGAGGCACTTTTCAAGTTAGATGATATCCTACTCTTACTCCGCTCTCATAAATGCTTCTCCTTTTGAAAAACTGTACTTCGCATTCT